GTGAGGAAAAAAAAAGGGAATTTCTTCCAAATTCATTTCCCCCAACTCAAAATTGTAGGGTCTCAACCGACTTCCACATTATTATTTTATCATCCAGCTGACAGAATGTGATTGTACTTCTGTTTGCAATGATACTGATTCATGTTTTACAGATAGTTAAATTGAAACTCATTATGACAGTATAGACTGTGAATAAAAATTGAACCCTTTGGCTTCATAATAAGGGTTTCCCTTGCATTATATATAGTACAGAAGTTATCCCTGCTTATAGTGATCCTCAACATCAGATGAAAGTTCAATGAAAGTTCAAAGTCATTAATCCTATCAAATAGATAATTATTCTTGGGGGTAAATCTCAACCTCCATCCTTGGTTTTTTAAAATCAAAAGGGTAAATCTTAACCTCCATTAATATCTTTCCTGATTAGAGATATAAGACTAAAGAAACATCATGACTCTTGAATTAACTATTCACATGCTACAGAAACTCTTTAACTGCAGCTGCATCACTGGTACTCCCTTTTTCTTATCTGCCACATTCTGGTGACAGCACTCTAGTCCCCAACCCCTATGTTTAAAAAGCACAACATTTTAAGCAAACTCTATCCTATTGCATCATACTGCTAACTACCACAAAAAATGCATGGAATCATGCAACAACTGCGAGCACTTGAGATAATGAAAAAAGCAGGATTTATGCAACTGCTGCGATGACTTATGAGAATGCAAAACCAACCTAAGGAAAAGGAATATTAGAGTTATGATCACTTCATCCCTCTAGACTCACTGAGACAACTCACAATATTTCTCCCCACTGCAACTCCTCATCTGAACAATTGCCGCCATTTCCTGTTTATTTCTCTGGTGGGAGTGTTTGGTAAGTTTCTGTTTACTTCACTTTCTTATTTTAATCGATAGCCAAAGAGAAATGCTGTTGACGGGGATAGAAACAATTTCTTAGTAAAGGACATATAGGAATTATATTAACAGATGTACTCAATAGTAGAGTATAAATCAAGTGCCCCATCATTATACTAGGTAGAAGTTCTTAAACACAAGTGATTTATCTAAGTTGGACATAAGGTGAAAAGTTCTTTAAAAAAGTAAACATTCACCATCCATAAGTCCATACAGATTAGGGACTATAGCTGCTAATAATTCTTAGTTCTGATTATAACTCAAAGCAATTCGAGAAGAATGAAATGAGATAAAGGAAAATAGAAAATGAAGAAGAGCTTCAAGTGATTTATTTCGTGGGCAATAAGAGTTCTTCTTTACATTTCATAGATGCATTTTACAAGTGTCAGCAGTAGGATGAGTAATTTGGATGAATATAAAAGTTCATTCTGTTGGAGAGGAAGATCAAGAAAATGGTCCAATGCTCGAGGCGTATGAAAACGAATTTCCTTAATAACATTTTGCCCCACCAGATAATGAAATAATTCAGCATATCCTCTAGGATTCAATAAGCCTTTTCTACAAGAGGGAACATCAAAATTTATACAAACAAACAAGTCCGGTAGAGAAAAGAATGGAACAAATAAAAATTTGCAGGGGATACTGATTAGGCCAGAGAGAGTGTGTGAATCGACTCTATAATCACACACTCTTTAACCTAATAATTTGTCTCCAGTGATTATTATTCCCTACAAAATCTTGCTTGTTCCTTCTCTTCTTTTTCTTTACTGGACATGTTTGTTTGTGTATTTAAATTTTGATATTCCTGTTCCCCTCTATTTGTAGAGGGAGGCTTGTTGAATCCTAGGAGGATTAGCCTAATATTTCATTATTTGGTGGGGATGAAATATCCTTAAGATTGATGGAGAGAAAGATCATGAAAATGGTGATGCTTGAGGCATGTGAAAACACACTATCCTTCGATCTAAAAATTAGTTATCCTGGTGCATATCCAGTGTCAGAACGTTATGGTTTTGATGTTGGATTAACTCAATTGACCTGGAAACCAAGTTCACTTGTATGAGAAGGATCTCACACTTCCATCAGATAAAACAGAACAAACATTTCAATAAGACATAATTCAGTAATGAAGCACAACCAAAGGACAATCTGAATCATTCCAAATAAACTGAAAAATCTTTAAATAGTACAACAATGTACCAATGTAATCTCACACGTACGGTTTGGGGAGGGTAAGATGTACACAAACCTTACATCTACCTTGTGGAGGTAGAGAAGTTGTTTCTAATAGACCCTCGACTCAAAAGAATCTTTAAGTAGTACAAATCATCTATTTTTCTACTATCCATAGGCATTGATGATCCATTTCAACAGAACATAGCTGCTATGAAACACGATCCTCTGGGCTCTGACTCAGTTAGCAATAACAGTGTCACAAATAACAAGTTTATTGGTGTTCAATCATTTCTTCAAACTTCTCACAGACTGGAATCATTTCTCCATCATACACTAGTATCTTGATCTAAGAAGTTTAACCACACGTTAATTACGTTCTGTAAATTTGTGTAATGGATAATTGCCGTAAATCTTTTCTCATTTTCAAATCCTACAAGTTTTCACCAATGGCTATCCACAACACAGTTTTAAGTTGAGAATACAATTAACTAATAAAAGTATGTTCTCTCTAACAGCTTAAGCTTTAGATAAGATAGTCACACACTTTTAACACCAACTCTATAATGAACATATATTCATTAACCAAACCGATAAATAACACTTATCGTCTACCTTTAACTATAACTACATATTCCATTACACTACGGCCAACAATCAACATAAATAACACTTACACCAAACGAATTAACTATAAGAGTTAATAAATGCAGCAATTTCAGATCTTAAAAAAGCAATCATTCAATAGCACAACACAATTACACAATATACACAAATTCGCGCTGGATCTAACTAAGTTTAAGCTCAATTTACACTCATGAGCTACATATATACACACAAAAAAAGGCAAAAGCAGTAGATAGAGTAGATGAAAGAGGAGAAGTGATTACAGTGCTCCGGCGACGTTCGGCGGCAATGGCGAATCCGAAAGCGATTAAGCTCAGTACAATTACTAGCAGATGAACAAGGGAAGATCCTCTGCCTTCCGCCATTTCTTAAAGCTTCGATTTAGGGCTTTTCACTTCAGTTTAAGAGTGTGTGTGAACTGTGTGTTCTTAGTGAGTGTTTTGTGTTGAGTACTTTTTTGAGCAGTGTTTAAAGGTGGGAAATAGAAATTAAAAGGCGTGAAAAAGAAGAGGAAAGTACTCACGCGATGTCAAGGAGCGTTTAGTATACGCGATGGGATTTTGGTCTCTGCAATCTGCTGTTATTTTGGCTTGTGTCTCACTCGCCGGTGATTAAATTTATTTATGGGGAATGATAAAATGTGAGCGTCCTCATCTTTTGTGGTGGGGCACCTGTACATTTGGGAGTGTTAGGTAGCTCGTTCGGGGTGAGTTATGTTAGTATTAAGTTATGTATAAGTAATATTGTGTTCGGTTGCTAGTAAAGAGATAAAATTAAAATAGTATTTGATTTGTAATTTAAAAATGCTCACAACTAATATATTATGAAATCGTTTGGTTGGAAATAAGTTATCCTGAAATAAGTTATTTCATCATATATATGAAATAACTTATTCGATAACTAAGGTATAAATGGTGGAATAAGTAATGTCATGACTACCTAATACCTCAAACCAAACACATTATAAAATAGTCCTACACTTTATTCTTGAAATTATTATATCTTATATGTCATACCAAACGACTCCTATAAATTATGCATGATAGAAGGTAATAACTAATCACTGCATAATTAATACTCATATAAAATAAGGAGTATATGATTCTCCCATAACTAATTTCTACATTATAAATATTTGAATAATTCTAATCGACTACCAAGAGTGACTCTTGTTGTTTAACTTCCTATGGGCATGGTACCGTTTTTGAAAATTTTGATTCACTAATTAACCTTGTACTACTCAATACTTAATCCCAATTTCCCAACAATAACAATAATATATTTAGTGTAATCTCATAAATCGAAATTAAAAAAACTAACGTGTACATTAATTTTACCCTTATTTTGTGAAATAAAGATATTATTTTCAATAAATCCTACTAACTACTAAGTACTAAAAAGCAAATGATGACCCAAACAAGAAAGAAGACCCATTTTACAGGTCCAGCTAAATTAACTCGAGCAAGCTCCCAGAACCCAAATCAATCGGGCCTGTTTCAATTTGAATTGGCCCATTTCAGGAATCTGAATGTTGCGGGTTTTGTGTTTTTGGAAGTTAATTGAAAATCTCATGAGAAAACGTTAGATCTACTTCTAATTTTATTATTTATTATATAAATTATTGAGCATGTTAGACAGTTGTCTAATGTTTCACTTGTAAGATAAAATATTTTATATATATATATAAAAGGTTGTCTAGAAAGAGTCCCAATTGCTATGTATACACAACTTTTAACAATAGAAACAAAATCTAAAACGATAACTCAAACAAGTCACATTTGTCAAAATCCTAGTCGCTTTATCGTGAAGCAAGTCCATTCCAATATGTGATTTAATTTTTTATTTCCATTTGGTTTTTCGGTATTCACATTAGAATTCGATTAAATTTGATGTTTCCTAATTTCATACTTAAAGAGATTCGAATTGGAGACCTCTGTTAAAGACGAAGGAGTACTTAACACTCCACCACAACTCTTGTTGATGATCCATATATTCCAATATCTACTCATTACGAGCCGTAAAATCAGTCACTAATGCTTGTATCAGGGTAGACTGTCTATATTACACTCATTAAAGATGTGATCCTTTTCTGAGAGCCTGTGTGAATGCAGAAATTTTAGTGCACTAGACTGTCTCTATATAATTTGTTTTGTTATTGCTATCATGTTGCAATTCCCTCAGTTTGTTCATAACTTCATGACATTCCAATGAGCCAAGAAATTCCATAAACACATTTAAATCCTTTGTCACCAGTTTTATGAATTGAAATGAAATAGTAACAACAAAAAAATTCTCAGACTGCTAATTATTCATAGTTAGAGTAATCATAAAACATTGTTCATCTGTACATGTGCATTTTCAAGTACTTATTGCAACTAAACTTTAGATATGATATTGTAAGTGACGATACCGGTCTTAATGTTGTTGCTTAGACTTTTCAAGAATGTCATTGTATTCGTGTTAGATCCTCTAAAATTTTACATTGCTAGATTTTGAAAAATCTCACACACACGACAAGATTCTTGAAAAGTCTTGAGCAACATAAGTTATCATGATCCACTAAGATTCAACTTTTTATAACTCCGATTCGTAAAAAAAGAAAAACTACACTTACAAAGATCAAAATACAAATATGTCTCTTTTTTCTATTAACTTGGAACTTCCTTGATGGCTTTTAAATCCCAAACATCATCATCCCACAAAACATCATTGTACAAGTTAATATAAGCTTCTCCCAAGAACTCCATGTCCCAAACAGGTGACCAACATGTTCCCCATGACATTTGCTCATCCACAACAACATTATCATTACTCCATGAACAAAGCCATTCATTAATCCAATTATCACACTCACCCATCAACTCCACCTCCTTCACAACATCTCCTCCACCATTATTTTCCCTATGTTCTTCCTCTATTTTCACCTCTTCACTTTGTTTCTCAACAACCCTTTTGACCTTTTTCATCTCCCCATAATTATTTCCTATCTTCTTATTACCTCTTTCCCTCTTCATCTTATATATTGGATCTTGCAGTCAAACTCCCTTCTGCCTTTTGCCTTATTGTACTCGAGGGTCAATCTCCGTCTAGCCCCAAAAAAACTTAGAACAGGAATTAATGATCTTGTTCTTGATTTATACACTAACTTTTTGTTGCATTTGTTACATTTGGAAGGAAATGCTTGTTATTTATAAATGTTGAGATTTAGAGGTGATGCAAGTTGGCCAAAATTAAATAAACAAGTGACAAATTTGAGGAAAGAGAAAGTTGCAAGTTCCCAAAATCACATGCCAAAAGTGGATAATTGACCTTTGGGGAGCCATGAGAGTTCTATGTATTGGAAGTATTTGGACCATAACAAAGTAGTAGATGCGTGTGTGGCAAAAGTTCAATGAACAATCAACTATATCAAGTTGAATTGAATGTGACCCGTTCTATTGTCGTATTTGTCGACATAAGAAAATTTAATACCTAATTATTTTTGCTATTTCACCCAATACATTTTTATCTTTTGTTAATATAAATATTAAAATTTAAATATGTACACAAATTAAATTATAAACTCTCAATTATTAGAATTCAAAATTGTTATCTAAGAACCCAAAATTCATAAAATTAAAATCTTGACTCAATCTTTATTTTGAAACTTCACTCTGTGTGACATAGTTTGATTTGTTATAACAAAAATAAAAAAGATTTTGGAAGTTGTTATCAACACGTCATAACGTTTTTGTGATCATAAAAACATCGACTCAAAGCAAGTTAAAATTCAAATATTTTTTAAAATACAATAATATGTTATTCCTTTTAAATCAAACTTATAAAAAAAAAAGTCATATAATAGATAATATGTATGATAATAAATTGTATAAAAAAAATTTACAACTTACCTTATTCTACCAAATTTATTGAGTGTTAGGTCACGATTTTAATTAAGTGCTAAAAGTAGGGCATTTATTAGTTAAATTTGTTGATTGGTGGGGTTGTGTGCAAACGTCCAAGTTGTATCATTTGAGTGTCATTAGGAGGCAAATTGGGGCATCCTTTTTGTCATTGTCGAAAGGCTGGCCGTTTTAATTTGGGTCACGTCGACCTCTTGGGATTAGTATTTGCCCCACATATGACATATTCGCATCGGGAGGTAAAACGCTTGTAAATAAGAAAATTTTGATTAGCAATAAAAATATATCACTTTATTTCAATCTTTATTGATACGATATATTTTTTATATTTATGACGAGGTTAGAAATATGCTTTGTGATCCATGTAAATTTAATAGTTTCAAAAAGATATACAAAATAAATATAATTATTACTGTAGTATTAACCTGAATCTTTTATAAACTTCAATTCAAATTGTGAATTTATTTCTGCCTCAAATATGTAATTTTGGACCTGTTATAATACTTTTTACTATCAAAATATGTCATTAATGATAATGGGAGACGTAAAAATATATTAAAATATAAAAAAATGTATTATTTTTCTTGGGAAAAAAAATCTAAAATATATTCAAATTTTGACTGAAATTGTTGTAACAATCCCGAACTTTGGAAATGACATTTTACCCTTGCACTATTTAATAGTGTATTTTAAAGGTATATATGTGCCAACGCTGGACATCATAAATATTGCATCATTATAAATAGTAATGTGTCCACGTGGACACACATATATCTTTAAAATACATTATTAAATAGTGCAGGTGGGTAATAGGTCCCGCTCAAAATTTGAAATTGCTACTATAATTTCGATCAAAGTTTGAATATATTTTGAACCTTTTTTTTTTTTTTTTGAACATATATATTACTCTTAGTGACACTCAAAAGATGCCATTATTTTTTTGAACGTTTAAAAAAAAACATAACTTATACTACAAATCAATATTATACCATGTCATAATTGTAGATATCCCTATACATTTACAATAAATCAAATACTTATAATCTATATTATATAATCTCAACATGATTGTAATGCGATAGTTGAGATTCTTCCATTCTTATGTTGAGAGTGTCGCTCCTAGAAATAAGTCGTGTAATACATAATTTTAAATCAATCGATCTTCTATATAAATAACTAGAGTTAATTCCCTAAATTGTCACCCAAGTTAAGAGAATTGCCTTGAAATATCATTTATATTTCATTTAGGATCAAAATATCACTTAACTATCCCTATTTTCCTCCAAATATACTTGACATTTCAAAAGCATCACTCTCTCCTAGTTGGCATGACATGTCATTAAAGTCTTTTTTTTTAACAATAGACTAATTTGATTCATTAAACCCATATAACTAAAATAATGATCATATTATTTTGAAAAAAAATATATTAGTAGTTTATTAAGAATAAATCTTCATACTTAAGAATCTTTTATTATGATTAAACTTTTTATTTTTTTATGTTATGAAGAATAGGTTTATAAAACGTATTATGATATCATTAATTTTGAATACTTATAAACTTATACATTCAAGAAAAAATCGATAAACATATCACTTATGAATGCTAACTTACATCAATTAATCATAAATTTTACAATGAATCAATATTATTAAATGTTAATTAACTATTACAATAAAATTAATTGTCTATTTTGAAATTCATGCTTATAATATTTTTTTCTTGAAAAAAAGTAAAAAGTGAATAATATTATTACTGTTTTTTATCAAAAAAATAAAATAAATACTAAATATCTCAAAAGTCTCCTTCTATTCTAGTTGATATATCATGTTATTAAATCATCATTTAAAAAAATAATAGACCTATTTGACTCATCAAACTTATGTCTCTACAAGGTAAATATATAAATTACATGAGAATTTATGAAGATTATAAAAAAGGTTAAAAAACTAATTGCTTATTTTTTTTTACCAAACAAAATTCAATGAAAAAACTTTGTATGCAATTATTACTTGGTAATTTTTAAAATTCCTAAGTAAATTATTTGAAAATTTTAAGCAATTTTTTTTATAAAAGTATTCAAATAAATTTGTAAGGTTGACAAGAAAGTTGGTGAAAGAGAAAATTATTAGTTATTTTTTAAAAATTTAATTTTGTATTCTTATTCTTGCTATATTATATTATATTTTAACTTATCATACAATTAAACACCAATATATATTCTCATCTCATCCCAAATTCATGAAATACAAGTAATAATTAATTGAATTGCATATTTTAATTCAATAATATGTTTATATGAGATTAATATACAGATAAATAAAGATAAAAAATTATTTTTAATAAAAATATTATTCACTTTCTATTTTCTTTTCAAAAAAAGATCTTGTAAGTATGGATTTCAAAGTACCCAATTAATTATTTTTAGTAGTTAATTGACCTTTAATATTATTGACCCAATATATAATATATGATTAATTGATGTAAGTTGACATTCATGTGTGATTTATATATCAATATTTTTTGAATATATGTGTTTAAAAGTATTCAAAATTGATGACATTATAGTAAGTTTTAAAAAACTATTCTTCATAGCATAAAAAAATAAAAAAAAAATAATTATGACGAAAGATTCTTAAACATGAAATTTTTTTCTTAATAAACTAATATATACTTTTTAGAAAATAATAAGATCATTATTTTAGTTAAATGAGTTTGATGAATTAAATAAGTCTATTCTTAAAAAAAAGAAAAGATTTAATGACATGGCATGCCAAATAGGAGAGGAGTGAGGCTTTTGAAGTGTCAAGTATATTTAGAGGAAAATAGGAATAGTTGAGTGATATTTTGGTCCTAAATGAAACATAAATGATATTTTAAGGCAATTTTCTAAACTTGGGTGACCATTTAGGAAATTGACTCTAAATAACTATCACGGTCCACGGACATCAGATAAGTCCAAAAAAATCCAACAGTAGAGGCGGCGGATAAGCTTGAAGAGAAGAGTGCACTCTACATCATGTGTTGTGGTGACCAAAAAACTTGGTGTTATTTTTGGCATCTTTGACAATTGACATCTTATAAATCATGTCGGCAGAACCTTCTAATTCTATCTTTTTTCATACAAAGAACAAAGGCATAGTGCATTGAAAATCATCAAATCTTTAACTATACTCCACTATACGTACATCTTATATTTCCAAAATTATATAAATAGAAGTTTCTCGTAGAAGAGCGTTTTCTTTTTTAATGAGTCTTATATAGTTGAATATGAATTATTGGGTTTAGTGTGTATTTATGGAAGTGCATGTGTATATAGTCGATTTTGGAAATCAACTTTACATTCGTAGCTATGAAGCACTTCAAATATATGAATATGAAAACGTTACACATACACGTACGTTCAGAGTTGGGCTTGGCCAGAAGATTTTAGTTACTCACCCCGTTTTATTTTACTTGACCATATATTAAATTTATTTATTTTTTTTGCTTTTTACTTATTTATTTTAGCAAGTCGAGAAAAAAATGTCATTTTCTTTTAATACTATTCTTATCATAATATTTTCAAAAACATAATTAATAAAATTAATTTAGTAAAATTAACCCGTAGACATGTTGCTCTTAGGCCTCCAAAGCCTACAAGCTAAATTACCAAACCTAACTTTAGACACAAATGATTAAAACGTTTGTAGTTAATTAACACAACCATTATAAACCCTTCTAGTTGATTTTGGATTTGAATTTCTTGGTTACGTTACATAATTCATAAAGGTCTATAATTAGTTGTACAAATTAAGTAGGAACATAAATACTCATGCAAGTAGCTCAACAATTTTATGACAATACGAAATTCTTCATCCACAATTTCTACGGTCTAAATAAAATCAGCAAATTGAATATTAAAAAAAATATATAATTTGAATAATATGTCGAAAAATGTTGAGAATACAATTATTACTAATAAAAATATGTTTATACTAACAACTTAAATTTTTAGATGAGATAATCACACACGTCAAAATAATATCAGAGCAGACAGAAATTCTAGGATCAATTTCAGTGCTACCAATGCAAAAGGAATTTCTACGAGCTTGACCATAAAAAAAATCAAATCTGCATGAGATCTTGAACTCGACGAAGGAACCAACTGACCAAAGCCCATCTAGTTGGGAAGTCCAAGCCGTTTCCATAGCAAGTT